AGCTATATATCCTTTAATGCCCTATGGAAACTCAGTTTTTAACGTTAAGATTTCCTAAGAACATTTCTAATATTCTATGTTCATCTTTCTTTCAGATTACATATGATTCTAAACCCCTTGTTTATAAAGAAAACCCTAAAGGGGCATCCATGCTCTGGAATGAAGAGTGGTTCAACGTTCATGGCGTCCATTATCAGTGGTATTTTTTTTTTAATTTTTTCTACTACATATGGTTAGGTTTCATTGATTAGTACGTACGTTTAACTGTTCTGTTTTGATTAAATGTTGTTGATTGTGGTTCATAAATTGTAATTGATTCAAAGAGGTTGCATCTTGAGTAACAATTCATTTCTAGGAGCTTGCTCAAAGAAAAAATATGCTTAATGCATTTTAAATATTCACCAAGTTGCATTTTTTTGGTGTGGTTATAAAATCAATCCGGACTCGATCTGATTTAATATCCTTATCACAGACGGATTGGGTGTGATGATCTACGGATTTGTAAGTCAATTTCAGGCTATGAGTTTTCAAATCCCTAAAATAATGTTTTGGTTTGAAATAAAACCTAATTTACACAAAATTCTGGATCGATAGCTCAGTTAACTTGTTAGATCAGGTCATGTTTTACTAGGAATAGTTAATTTAATCATTAGTAATTCCAATTATTTATATTAATAATTCCAAAGAAATTGACCACGTACCCCACGGTTTTTGATTTGTTGACAGGATGGCATCAAAATTGTCTACTAATTTGATTTAGTGCTTAACATGTTTCAGGAGGAGTAGCCAGCTGTGACACGTAGGTTTAGATCCATACATTTGAACTTAATCACTTCACATTATGCATGTATGAGCTACATAAAACTTAACAATATTGTCATTTGTTTAATCTAGGACACACACACGTATTGTTTCATGGGAACATAGTAATTGAACATAGTAATTTGTATAGAATTATCAAATAGGCACAAAGAATGAGAAATTGATTTAACATATTATTAATTATTAACTAAAACTATACAAAAGAAGGCGAATTTGTTATTCATACTCCCACAAAATATTGTTACATTAATTTTTTTTAATATCACTATTTAATATTGAATTTACTGTAAGTTAAGTTTTATAAAATTTTAGATTTTTTTATAATTTTATTCTTGTTTTATGATTCAAATTGTAGGTTTGGTATATTAAATTAAATTAATTTATATTTATCTAATATGTTATTGTCTAAATATTATTCTTATAAAAAATGTTATTTTTAAACAAAATTGATCAAATTAATATTATTTTTATATCCCTTTTATATTATTTAATTTTTTTTACTGAAAAAGAAACAATATTAACGTTTAAATCTTTTTTTTTTTATGTTGTAAAAAACTTTATCTACCCCGCAGCAAATCTAGTTTTTATTATTTGTGTCGTTAAATATATATTGCGCCTTCCTATTGTTTTCTTGTTGGTGGGACAGTAGGGATGAGAGAGCCAAGAAAAGCAAAAGAAACAAACACGTCGTGATGTGCTCATCATTGCCGGTGAAACGTTTCTAATAAAAAGAAACAAAGACAAGGCGATGCCCATCCTCAAAACGTTTCGAAACGTTCTTCCGAGAAATGCGGCTGCTTGCCGCCTCTTTACTTCCCCGTCACTTGTTCTTCAAAAAAGATAGGGAGACGTCGTGTCAAGAGAACAAAACTAAGACTTCTATATATATATATATATATATATATATTTGTCCATTTTTCTAATAAATGACATAAAAATTATGATTTCCAATTATTTCATTAATTTCAATTTTATGAAATAATTGAACGTCTACATTTTTTAAAGTTAGGTATAATATACAAAATAATAAATGACGTTTTGATAAATATTTACAAGTTTAATATTAGATAAATAAAATTGATTGGAAGAAGAAACGGATTTAAGGGAGGCAATTGGGCCAAATTAAGTCTTATTAAAAATTCCAAATTCCTCTTTTTAAATAAATTTCTATAAAATTTATACTAAAATGACCCATCTAAAATGAAAATGTTGCACTTTAATGCACTCTTCATGAAACAAAGTCTGGATTTATCCCATGTTTAAAGGATTATTTTTTTTAAGGTTTCAATGTTAGACTAATTAAATCTATTAGTTTTTTTTTACCATGCACACACTCTATCTTCATTCAATCCAGATAATTTATAAATTTTTTATATAATTTGAAATTAATTTTCAATGATCATAAAATTTTTAGGATCCTTGATTTAAGTTGGAACATAAAAAAATTAATTTAAATTTGATATATTTGGACTCAAACACCCTAGTAGATAATCTACAATGTCATCAATCAATTTTTTTTAAAAAATAATATTTTTTAAAATTATAAAAATATTATTTTAATCAATGTAATTCAACTAGGGTTATATCTTTGACCTGGACCGTATTTTGCATACTTGGTTAACCATAAGACTCGAACTCTCTAATTTTGTCGTTACTAGCCATAAGATAAATCACCAGCTAGGTCGTTCAATAACCCTTCGATTACGTTATTCTCATTTGAGTTTAAAAAACACTTCCCGAAACTCTCTCTCTCTCCCTCTCCCTCTCCCTCTCCCTCTCCTTGTTGCGTGTAGAGAAGAATCCTTTTTGTATGAAAAGTCAGCGACTCTCTCTCTCTCTCTCTCTCTCTCTTCAGAATCCATTCTCTTTTGTTTGTTAATGAAACAAAGAAGAAGCACATCTCAGTTTACTTTCAACCTTCAAGAACCTGTCTTGTTTTTTTGCTTGCTTTCTTGTTTTAACCAAAACCCCAATATCTCACAAGATGAATCCTTGTACCTAAGCTAGAACTTGCATGTTTTGTTTTTCCACGTTTGGTGCAAGAAAAACAACGCCATCCTCTAGTTATATCATCCTTTCTCCCTTATTCTTTGATTCTACATTAGTATATGCAGGTTTTTTGGGCTCAAAATGGATAATTATCAAGGTGATTTAACGGATATTCTTCGAGCTAGTACTGGTGGAGCTTTAGGCCAACCAGATGTTCCCGTTTCAAACTGGGAATTCCCTTCTGATCCAATGAATCTTGCATCATCATCAATTATGGGAGATAGTAGAGTGAATGCTTTTGGTGATCCTTTTTGCAACATGAGAGATCCCCTTCTTCATGAGCTTAACGTTGCTGCGTCAAGCTATTTTAGCAGCCGAAGTTCTGCAGATCACATGCTTTGTACTACTAGTGTTGATCAAGATCACACTAGTAATAATTTTGTTGGCTCAAATAGTGCTACTGCTGGTAGTTGTAGTAACATTCTTGCTCACCAGAAAGTCTTTGAAGATCATGAGATGCATAAGAGTACTGCTGCTGCCGCCACTACTTCTTGTCGCAATATATTTTCAAGAATTCAGATCTCACCAACTAATCCCACAAAGCTGCCTGTTTCACCTTGTAATTCTCCGGTTATAGCTGCTTGTTCTTCTCCAAGAGGGTTCAGGCCATCTGCTATGGTTTCAAGTGATGTAATTAATGTCATTAACTCAAAAGGTTGCTTGATTGACAACACTGGATCAGTGCAGATCTCATCTCCAAGGAATCTGGGGATCAAGAGAAGGTGAGTAATTAAGAATTGTCTTGTTAATTAAATTTAGTTGCCCCACTTGTTTCTACGGAATTTAATATAGTTGAATTTTGATTCCTATGCAACTTTTAGTGTGTACTCATTTTTTTTTTTAATCTTGACTTCATTAATTGAAGTTGATGATGATGATAATATATAGTATGATTAATTAATTATTCATAGGAGGATCAATGAATTTTTTTGGAACTTGAGACTTGAGTAAAAGCATGGTGATGGTCAGGATCCAAGGAATTTAGGGTTTTCAGATAAAAGTATATGTACTAGTCTTTCATTGACTGTACAGGGAGCTGGGGGTGGGGGTAAAGCTAGCCTTTCTTTTCAGGTGAGATTGTTCAATGACTGCCTACATTACATAACAGAACATCAAATCTTTGATGGGATTTAATCAAGTAACCTGAAAAGGTGGCCTCACTGGTGTCATAATAACATTCACAGACTTAGCTTTCATGGTAGTAGCTATCTCTCAAGCAACTTTATTTATTATTTATTTCTTAATTTCCTTTCCTCAAGTGATCACTTGAAAAGATTGTTCTGATTGATGCATAATTGTCTTTAAGAACATACTATCCCTTTCAATCTTCATAGCTCAAGCTCAAGTATTCATTGCTGCCCCAAAATGGAAATCGAATTCTTGTACAAATATATTTTGATAAAAAAAATTATATTTGATCGTTGCTTCTTCATCATCATTGTAATTAAATGCTTCTATCTTGAGTCTTAGATTTTGGAAATGTAAACAAAATTCCAAGATTGATTTTTGTATTGTTATTTCAGGAAGAGTCAAGCAAAGAAGGTGGTCTGTATTCCAGCACCAGCAGCTGCAAACAGCAGGTCTAGTGGAGAAGTAGTTCCATCTGACTTGTGGGCATGGAGAAAATATGGACAAAAACCCATCAAGGGTTCTCCTTATCCAAGGTAAGTAATATATATATATATATATAGTTGATAAGATTACAAAGAACAAACAGCTGGATTTTTTAGTTCTCTATTCTCTCTGACAAATTATATCATTTTCTGGAAAAATGTTTCTTGATTTAATTCTTCTTCTTCTTATTTCCCTTGTGCACTTGAAACGCAATATATTTTTGCATAGTAATGCCCTGAAAAAGTTCTGGTGAACCCAAGTAACGCTTCCCGAGACACCGAGCTCAAACAGTTTGTTGTTTGGTGCATAAACAACATTTTAAGCATTGATTGACTGGTTGTAACCTGCAGTGCTAGTATTGATGAATGTGTATGCACTATTGTTCTTTGAGCTCAACAGCTTCAAATAGTTGCCAATTTACATGCTCAAATGATTGGCAGGAAGTGAATCCAAAACACTGAGTTTCTTAGCATATAATATTAATATTGTTGTGAACTATTAGTGGTTTTCTTGTCATCTTTCTGATCAGTTTTCGGTTTTGAACTTTGATTTTCTTTGAGAAATTATTATTGTGAAAGTGGTCTATAAATGTTGGGGTAAGAATTGCACTGAATGTTAAAACATGTTGTCTTTCCTTCCAGGGGTTACTACAGATGCAGCAGCTCTAAGGGTTGCTCAGCAAGGAAGCAAGTAGAGCGGAGCCGAAATGATCCTAACATGTTGGTCATCACCTACACTTCTGAGCATAACCATCCATGGCCAACACAGAGAAATGCACTTGCTGGCTCAACAAGGTCTCAGCCTACAAAGAGCAATGCAGCTTCAAAGAGCTCCACAGGTGCTGAAGCACAAAAAACAGCAAATACAAAGGAAGATCAGAAGGAGAGTAGCAATGATACATCGTCTCCTACCGATATTATTGGTGGTAGCTCAACAGCAAGTGCATCTGTCAAAGAGGAGTCTGATGACATTGAGAAGCAAATGGAGATGGATGATAATGAATTCAGTGAAGGGTTTTCTCAGAGTTACAGGCCATCAATGCCTGGTCAATCTGATCAAGACTTCTTTGCTGAATTGGGAGAGATAGATGCTGACCCTCTTGACCTGTTGTTTACACAAGGAATCAATGGACAGGACCAGAAGGAGAGCAAGGCCTTGGATCCATTCAGTATCTTCGACTGGTCTGAGGACACGAGCATTTCATCTGGAGAAGCAAAGAGGGGGTTTATAACAAGACAGTGAAACAACAACAATGCCACTTCCCAACTAAAAATAGCCTATTGAGTGTTTGTGCTGCTGCTGAGAAAATGCCGTTCTGGGTCCTGCTATAAACCCTTGTATTTCAGCTTTGAAATTCCCATGTGGGGAGGTGATTTTTTCTTTCCACTTTCTTCTTCCTTCGTTTCTTGTTTTTTACCAAAACAGCCAGGAAAATTAGCCAGAGAAAGAAGGGTAAAAAGTCAGTGCTGGTTGATTGGGAGCAGACCTAATGAGCCCCGCATTCCTTTGGGAATATTGGTGGATGGGACAGAAAGCTGTGCAACAGAAGGTTTCAACAGTTAAAACAAGTAGAAACACCAGACATGACTGGAAAGCTCAATGAAGAGATTGATGCAAGATGGGACTTGCCCTTTCATCTTTTCAAGTGGAAAAAATTATTCAAGCACAACCCCCACCCTCCCTCCGCCTCTGGTCATCATGTGGGCTTCCATAAATTAAAAAAAAAATATACATACATGCTTTTATTACACTGATGGGAATAAAATGGAAGAATATATATATATATATTTGTTTGATATTGTAATTTAAGATATTTTTTTTAATTTTGTTTAGGAATATATTAAAATAATTTTTATTTAGATTTTATTTTAATTTTGATATAAACATATCAAAATCATTTAAAAATATTAAAAAACATCAATTTAATATTTTTTATGTCAAACATATATAAACACAATTTCAACTATAAAAACAATAAAATAGTGTTTGGCTTCACATTCCAACGCTAATTTTAAAAGCTTTTGAATTTTTGTTAGCTTCAAATATTGAATCTAAAAATCATTATCTCCATCTATGTTCTTAAATATGCAGTAAAGGTTCCTTGTCGTGCAACCACAAAAATTACATCATAATAAAAGTATGTTTTTGCTGCCGTGCAATTTGCGAGACAAGCACTAAATATTTTCAGAAAAGCTCAACTTTCTTTTCAGCCTTGATCGCTAGGGATGTGTGCTTGCAAGAGAGATATGTCGTTAATGCTTTGGGCTCCTCAGCTTTCTGTTTCTTTTCTTATCCATCCACAGTAGTGTTGTGTTGTGTTTTTTTTTTTTTTTGGTTTTTGACTTCAGTGCTAGTTATCAATGGATTGTTCAGGGAAGAACAGAAATATTTCTTATTAGTTTCTATATAATACACTTGCCATCTTAGCTTCTCGATCTCCATCCAAAATCATTTCTGTCAATGCAGTGTTTGAGACTGTACTAAAATTAATCTTAATATTATTTTTTATTTTATATTAATACATCAAAACAATTTAAAAAAATAAAAAAATAAAAATTTCAAGCAAGCACGAAAAAAAAAAAAAACACTGCAATACTGATACATCCAGCCAAATGGGGGGTTGGCGTTGAATCTCTTGCATCTGAATTGCCAGCCACATAGACTTAGAGACCCTTTGTTTTAGATCTATGCAAACATTGTACTCTAGATAGATAGCGCTTGATAATAATGGTTAAAAAACGAGAAAAACTTGCCAGCACATAAAAATGGCTGTTCGTCCAGTTAACACCTGTCTAGACGGGCATTGTTGCAGGGCTGTATTAATCATGGAAACAACCTTTACCCAATCGATCACCAAATGCCAAACAGTGGCACTAAGTTCTGTCAAATCCATCCATCACCTTTAATGTAGTTTTGATATCCTTTGAAATCAAGTCACTTCAATGGAGAAAATAACAGTACAAAGTTGATCTTTTCCACAGCCTAACACAGTGAAATAAAATTAAATTTTAAACTAGCACAGTCACCTCCAATTGTTTTTCCTTGGCCAAATTAATCAATTCATCCTAAACTCATATTTTAAAAAGAATCAATGGCAAAAAAAAAAAAGGGATGAGAGAAGAAAGAAAAAACAAATAATACGCTAGAAATATATCGGAGCTGTGATGAAATGCCAATCATTAAAGATGTTACTGCCTGTAACATGCACCATATATATATATATATAGTCAAAAGTTCCACAGAATAGTTCTTTTTCATTATCTGATTAGGGTTGGGGTGATAGTCATAATGCAAGAGAAGGAAAATGAGGTGCAACTGGGCTTATGGGACTACTGTGCTAATGATTTTTGAAAAGGAAGGGGGAATGGAGTTAATTGATTTCTTGACCATTATTTGTTCTTTTGAAAAGTTGGTTGTAAATCTCTTAGCATGCTTTTACGCTCAAGACTTCAAAAAAAAAGAGGGAAAAAACATGCACAGGAACCATCATTTGATGTTTTTCTAGGTTTTTGATAAAAAATATGTTAATCATAATTATTGCAATGCTAGCTATCATCATGTCATTAGCAAGATTTCCTATACTAATATATGTTCCATTCCAATTCACATGTTGTTTTTTTATGAAAAATAATACAAGTGTTATTAAACTCGGTTAGTCTGAGTTCTTTCATGATTTGATTTATATTGAATTCTTTTTTAAAAAAAGATTGAATTGATAGTTTATCAATAACTAATATAATATTTTTAAAAAATATTATTATTTTATTTTTATTTTTAATCTTGAAACAATATTATTTTAAATTAATTCGATTTAATCCAATTTATCTGTATTTCAACTCTCAAGCCAAGTCATGAACCATAACTTCAGATAAAACTAGATAGATCAACAAAATTAATATCAATGACAATAAAATATCATCAAAAGAGTTATTGTTTGATAATATATTATTCTTAAAAAATTGAGTAATTATTAAATTAAATTTGGAACATATAAATTCCCAACTGTCATGACAAAGAAATAATAGAATCTTTGTACCATTATAAATCATTAAGTATCCCTATCATGATCTCAGTCGGGAAATTAAAAAAATAAATATTTGATATACAAAAAAAAAAAATCTTGAATCCCTTACAAGCTGACCTATATATTAATAAATGTTGATGTCTTCATCTAGCTCCATCTGTAATAATCCAAATGTACCAAGAAGATGTTTACATGTTAGTTTTAATATCCTCTTATGAGATCTTGATTTTGCTTATTGTTATTCCTTAACCTTTAAGTTTTCTTCATATTTTTCCTTGACTCAGTGGTATTAATAAAATCCAATCCAAGTTAGTACATGATAAAATTTAGATCACAAGAGAATCATCTCTGATTAACTCTAAATTTTATTTTTAAATATTTTTATTAAATAAACAGATTGAAAGCTAAGTTTTAATCAAGTTTTTCTCTATTTAATTTAGATTTTTGACTAACTTGAATTACTTATTTATTTTTCAACTTGATCCGATTCAAGTTCTAAATCAGCTATTTATTAGAATGACCTGTCAAGTGATCTAAAGCAAATCATTTACACTCACACGAGTGTTTCTAAATAAATTATTTTTTTACACATTTTTATAAAACTCAAGCCATGAATGATGCAAAGCGTGAAACAAAATGAACTTCATTTTGGCCATAGTGGGGCAAAAAAAAAAAAAAACTGCTGATCATCTGAACAGAGTTAAGCACCGTAAATAATTGTTCTTGTAAAAGATTTTTTTTTTTAGATTAATGTGGGTGTCCGGGCTAGCTTGCGCGCACCATGACTAATCTCACAGGCTCTGAAGTTAACGACCATGTAAGCCTCCAGTGGCCATCATATGAGCAACCAAGAACTCAAACCTGAAACTATAGAAGGAACAAACCTTTTGATCCCAAATCCTTATCAATTGTTGTGTAAAAGATTTTAATCAGTCAATTCGTGGTACAAGAACCCTCCAAATTAAGCCGTTGAAAGCAAGAAGTACCTTTTCCTCTCTCTATTAGAGTGAAGTGGGGCCGATTGATGCATTCAAATCTATCATTACAAGAAATAAATAAATAAATTCATTAGTGTTTGTTTAGTGTTTGTTGGCCATAGATTCGAATCTATTGCCACCATGAACAAATACATGGTTAATTACTAAAGAGTACAAGAGTAAGGTAACGTTTAATTATTGTCTTTAAATAAATAAAACGAAGATAATTGAGATAAAATAATAAAATGTGAGTTGTTTTCTCAATCCATACATAATATTACATCTCTGTATAACCATTAGAAATAGATATAAGAGTAGTATATTATTTTTTATAATAATATAAAATAAATCAAAATTACTCGTGATAATTTTGTTACGAGTTAAATTATTATTTTTATATATTATTAATGGGATCAAATTTTATATTTTAATGATTTTAAAAATACGTTCTTTTTGGTGACTAAAACTTAAACCTTGAAGTTAAAGCCGAGCAAATCAATTGTGGTTATAATTCATTTATTAAAATTTCAAGTTTATATATTTGTAATGTTGTTGACTTTGTCAAACTTTTTTTTATTTTTATTTGAAAATTACTTGGGTCTATAAAAGCCCATACTAGGTGAAAGACTATTGGGCCAAGTTTCTACTGGGCTTTGAATCTGCAATCTTTTCATTTTGTGCATTTAAAGATATTTTCCACCGGGAAAGGAGGCTATTAACTAACTAATAATTAATATTCACAAACTTCAAATCAGTACCTAATGCATCATACAACTCTTCATTGGGTCCCAATACAAAATATTTCATCATTTAGGCAACAGATGTCTTAGGATTCCTCAATTGGGTCCTTTCATCAATTTCTAATAAGAAACTTCACCAGGATTTTTTAAAAATACCTGAATGTTTTATAGCATAAAATGTGCAAGAGGATATTAACAAAATATTGATATAAGGACTCAATTGATACTATATTTGATTTTAGTGCTCAATTAATGATAAAAATATAAGTTAGGGACTAAATCGAAGTTTAATTCGTAATGTAAGTATCTAACATGAACAATTTAGATGTCTGTTTCCAGTTCTAAACAGTTAAAAAAAGAGAGAGAAGAATGAAGCTTTGGCTTCCGAAGTCCCATGCATTCATGGCCACTCCATTGGCTTTCAGATCAATAAGAAGGGCTTGTTTTGCATCTTCTGGTCTCAAATGGGAAGGTGGGGTCTCTATGGTTCAAGGAGCTTCTAGAGGAATTGGCCTTGAATTTGTAAGCTTTTACTTTAGTTGTTTTATGCAAAGTTCTTGTCTTTTGATTGCTTCAATTGTTTCTTGCATCTGCTAAAAATGGGTTGGTGTTTTTTTGTGAAGAAAGATCTGGAGAATAATGTTTAAGTTAAATGATTGGCATTTGGTTCTTGATAATTGAGCTTAGATTTCTTGATTAGCGTGTAATCAAATTAACTGCATGCATAATTAAGTCTATTGATTGATATCTATCACATTGGTTGCTAATGTTACTCTCTGTTGTTTTGTCATAGTCTTGATGAATTGCTAGAGAGCTGCTAGTTTGTTTTTTATTTTTTTTTCAATTTTCCATCTGGCATTGGAAATGCGGACCATTTCCTTGATAATCAATAAAAGGGCTTTCCTGTTTTTAGTTTTTGTTTATGGAAGAGAAATTTTGTGGATTAATTCATCCTTGGAGTAATATAAGAATGCCAAATCATTTTCCATGTCAGTTTTCATTGCCTTTTCAGCTTTAGTTAGTGTCATTGTTTTGTTGAAAACCCGTTGGACCACTCCGATTAGCTTATCATGTGGTTGTTATTCCATTATAATCCCGTTGGATATGAGTAGTAGTAGACTTTATTTAAGAATATAATTATTCTCATTTTTCTTCCGAGGTAGAAGTTACTATGTAATAAGTTGATGCCAACTGATTTTTGGGGCAATTAAATGACAAAAACTCATATTGTAATTTTCATCACTATCTATTAATTCTGTGCGCAAAACTCGAATCGCTGCAGGTTAAACAGCTTCTGGAAAAAAATGACAAAGGGCATGTTATTGCTACTTGCCGAAATCCTAATGGGGCAACAGGACTTGTTGATTTGAAAAATAAGTTTGCTGAGCGCCTTAACATTATGCCATTAGACCTGACCATTGAAAGTACTATAGAGGTTGGTGCTCATTTTTTGGTTGATATCTCCTGCCTTTGTCCAGGCCGGAAGAAAACTTTACCTCTGCCTTTTCTTTTGAGTCATCGTTTGAGTTCAGTTGTCTCAGTTTTTTCTGTTTCCTGCCTTATGAAATTCTTTGGGATGACCATATCATTATTTTAAACTTACGAAAATGCTTGATGTTGGAGTGACTCTTGTGAGATCAGAAATTTTTCTGAATTTCCTTTAGCATTTTCACAGCAGTGATCTGGTGCATTAACACTTGTGTACCCTGATTAACTGCCAACAGCCAACATGCTGAAGGAAAGTGCTGTTATGTTTTTTTTTTTCTTCGAATTTCCTGATATGATGTCATATTTCAGGCATCTGCAAAGTTCATAAGGCAGAAATATGGCTCTCTGAACCTTCTGATTAATGCATCAGGAATCCTCTCAATACCAAATGTGTTGCAACCAGGTAGGAAGAAAAGTTGAGCAGTAGACTGTCACATCAGCATTGTATTATATTGTAGCGAACAGGAAGCTAGTCTTCTTTAGCCACTGTACTTAGGTAGGCAAAAGAATTGATTTCTTTTGTTTCCAGTGCAGAAACAACATTGAGCAAAGTAGAGAGGTCATCCTTAATGCTGGCTTATGAGGTCAATGCTGCGGGTCCTATTCTAGCGATCAAGGTACGGGGAATGCTGTTTTTATTTAATGACTGATAATTCATATTGTGTGAAATGTCTTCGGAAGAACCTAGTTCTGCATTCATTTTGGCGTAGCTGTTTTTCGGTTAAGATCAGCTATATTTATGAATGCTGAATTATCAAATGTATTGAAGTACTAAAGCCACTCATGCTTTCAATAGTTTTTTTCTTTCAATACATAAAGCCAAATGCAGGAATAATCACTTTAACCTTTCTTTCATGAGAGAAAAGAAGTCTTCATTTTAAATTGGTCCTTGGATGAATGCATGAATCGAGCACAGAAAAGAAAAACAAACACAAGCATCTGATTTGCTAGTGCTGTTTATAACTACTAGTAATTGTTATTAGTATTGAAAGAATAATTATTGCAGGCACAGAAACTCCCTAACAGTGTTAACCTTGAAGAGATGCATTCGAATTTGATATTAGTATTATCAGGCAATGATAAAGTTGTTGCACTAGGGGTTTCTCTATTGCCTTTTTGTTTCTTCTAAGGGGGTAATGATTCACATGGAGCTAAATATTGTTGTTTGCCATTTGCAGCACATGTGGCCTCTTCTGAAGGCTGGAGGAGGCTTTGGAACTGAAAGGGATGTTGCAGTGGTGGCCAATTTAAGTGCCAGAGTTGGATCAATTGGAGATAATCATCTAGGTGGATGGCATTCATATCGATCTTCAAAGGCTGCTCTAAATCAGTGTATGATTTCTTCCACTAAGTTCCCTTGGCATGCATTTCTTGATTCATGGCTTCAATTATCATCTTTAACTGTTCCTTAATCATTTCCACAAGCAATGAAATGTTGCATTACTGCATGGTTAGTCCTTTCAGATCCTGAGCATATTTTATGTGAATGTGATAACTGGGCTTCAGCTTCTACCTGTCTTATTTTCTAGTACCGCAGTTAGATATGACAAGAAGAATCATGGTTACTTTGGTGAAGACATCTATGTTGGCTTATGTTTATTTTCACCTCTGCAAGTAATATTTTATAAGTCAATTTTCAACACTTTTTTGAGTGCAACTTGGCAAGGAATCTTTCAAGGGCACCGTTGCCTAAGATTTGAGACTATTCATGCATGTGAGGCATGCCTTTTTTCTTTGTTTGGGCCATCCAATGCACAGGCTACAGATGGCATATGCAAAGGACATACTTGGTGTCCTGGAACACAGGCATATCCAGAAGTTTTCCAGCCAAGTCTTTTTGAGGCAGGAAATACTAGTGAAGAAATAATTACTTTGTGAAGAAAATTTCTATATTCTTCGAAAAATATTCTAAAAGATTCCCTGCATGGCATTTACATTTGTTAAACTTTGCTGGATGTCACCTGGTTTATGATTTCTATGCTCTTCTTTCAAATATTGTGAAACCTTGCTGGATATCACCTTCTTCATCTTGTCCATTCTACCTTGAAAATCATAAAAAGAAAAAAAAAAAATCAGTACACTTTCCAGTCTTCACTTTCCTCTGACTAATATAATTCAGTTAATTAATGTCTTAGAATCACTTTGATCAGCAGTCCTTCAAGAATATGCATATTCACATGAAGTGAATGAATACTATACTAGGGCGTGGAAGCATGGTATCTTGGTGTGCATGCATGCATGCATGCATCAATCTGCTTTGGGTGGTATTTAGTCTCTTTTAGCTTTTGTTATTGTTTCGTCCCATGCTAAAACATACACATTAAAGCCATCATTATTTGAATCTCTCTTGTGGTAATACTTCTATTGGCTGATGGTAGCAGTGACAAAAACTGTGTCGGTGGAGTTTGCGCGAAGAAGGGATCCGATAATATGCATCCTTTTGCACCCAGGCACGGTAGACACAGATCTCTCTAAGCCATTTCAGAGAAATGTCCCCGATGGCAAGCTTTTCACCAAAGAGTTTTCAGTGCAGCAGCTCTTAAGCATCATTAATAATGCAAAGAGCCATGATAATGGCAAGTTTTTTGCCTGGGATGGCCAGGAAATTCCTTGGTAATTGGTTATTGTACTGAATTGAAGTCACTATTTTTGTTACCACGCAACTCGAATATGTCCTTACTTCGTTGATCATAAATTGATTTGACTGAGTGATCCATCCTTTTCCCTCTGTTCACCTGATGCAAAGCATGCAAATCCTCATCACGAACAACATGCTACCCCAAGCAGCGTAGTATGAGAATAACTTATTGGTTTCTTATTTGTAACTTAATTTTTCCAAACATCATTGTGGGTTTCGAAGCTATTGAATTGTGGGCTGGTCTGCAAATGTCAGCAGTTCTTTTGATGTCAGTAATAAATGGACAATTGTGGCTGTCATTGGGCTTGGTCTTTAGGGCTATGGCAGATAGCTGGATCTGAAGAGCAGAATGGAACTATAAGAACGTCAGTATATTTTTGGTTTGATCTAGTTATATTATAGCACAACACTGCAATGCATGCCTTGCAATATGTCAAAATTTGAAGTTCAGCACATAACAAGATCATAAGAGGAGGCAGAAGAAGAAATGAAAAGCATGAAATCTGAATCTAAAAAGCCAACTTGTTATGGTATCAAATGGCATGATTATTGAGGTACAAAGTAGGGTCTGGCTACAGACCACATGCATTGCCTGCATTGCCTTAAAGTGTTCATTCAACTAGTTGTAAATTTCTTCTCTCCTAGAAACTCCTCGGTCACTGCTTAACCTCGATCCACTGTAAGAAATCTAAGTGAATCCTGCAAAAGCAAAATCAAAGCATAAGCAAATCACAAGGGCCCAGTTGATCATTTGCTAGTTATCAGTGGGTGCTCAAGCTGTGAGGAGAATCAATGGAAAAAATAATATACTTACGCATCACAGTTGACACGTTTAGAGACAGGGAATCCAACTTTGATGTTGCAAGCTCCAGGAATCTTGCTCAAGAACTGGTCCAATACGTTCTGGCTATATTGCAGGATAGAATTCAATGGAGTTGATGAACCTGGAAGGACTTTCATGACTGAGCTGTTCATATTGGTTTCACACATGCAAGCACTTAAGTAGTCAAAGTCACATATTTTTCATAAAAACAAACAAGAATATACTCTAGACTAGGTTATTCACTTGTGTTATCTAAATCCTAAGATGTTCATCGTAAACTCTTCGTTTGTAAGTTCAAGTAAATAACTTGACGCAGCCGAAGAAAACAAGCACAAAAGAATCTCAAACAACTAAAGCCCCCATTCATACTTAAATATGTCAATGGCTGAATCTAACAAGAATCAAATAGAAGAAACAACATAAAATTCAAAATTGAAATGGAAATCCAGAAAATAAAAAGAAAATAACAAAACCGAATCAAAGAACATCATCCTTGCAACTAGTTTCATCCTTTAAGACTAGTTTGAAGGACTTTCCAACATTGGCTAGTTATGGACAACCTATTCTTTATAGAACTAAGCCCCTATAATCTCATGACCAAATTTGAACCTAATTCAACAAGGCATATAAAAAACAACGAGTTTTTCTATCCGACTAATCATTAGTATGATTCGGTCTTTTTTTGAGCTTAGCTCTATTATACTAGTTCATAAATGAGCTTGCTAGACTTTTCACATCATCCAGTTATATTGTATTCACAATAAACTGTTCAGAACCATCAAACCCATCTAAATCCCTAAACTTTATATGTTTAATCCCTTTTTCATGTTTGCTTACCATAAGTCAGACTCAGACCACAATCTTAAAGATGACAGAATATATTAGCAGACAAAATCCAAAAATTTATCATCCGTGATGCATAAGTTGTCGCCATTTGCTCTCCTAAATTGTAAGAAGCACTGATGAACATGCCTCACATTGTATCTTCTATATTTTGCAGTGTCTCTTATCAATCAGTACTTCAACCGGAAGAACTTACCTCAGTACAAAGCCTGTCTTGGTTTTGGCCTCACCGCTATGTAATAAGAAAACAAAGGCTAGTAATAACTAGTTGATGGCCTGCAACTTCTACTCTTGGCACCTGATTATCTATAATGTTTTATGGATATCTTGACTGCATAGTGGAATTTCGTACAAAACAGTTCACTGATTTCATAAGACCTGTAGCGTGTTCATAGTTTTCCTACAAAACAGAAAACAAAAGATTTTTTTATGACAAATACATTTTTGAAATGCAAATAAAAACACTAAATAACCTTTACTGAACCAAGCATGAATGTCAATCATCTAATAATTTACTGCAATTTCATCTTCAACACATAATTACATGCGAAAATACTCCAATTCACATGGAAGACAAAAAAAATTATTTTCGACTCATAATCTTATAGGATGTAGTAATTGAAAGAAGGAAAAACCTCATTTTAATACCTAATGCGTCGTGATAATCTCAATTTTGCCCTAAAGCAATTTACATTATCAATTTTATCCTTGACACATCAAACATTTATCAATTTGATCTTCACATCTAATATAATCACATTTTAAACCAGATCACATCAAATCTTCTTCAAGATACTCAATTTATTGCATAAAAAAATGAAAATAGCATCAAACATTGATGGAAAAGATGTAAAGGAGTTAATTTTTTGGTTTACAAAGCAAAATTTGTTAATAGTCCTTTTCACTAGAGATAAATACAAGGACTCTCAAACCTTCGAGAGCTAAAGTAAGAAGTTATGAAAACTATATGGACTAAAAAACGGCATACGAAAAAATTATTGTTTATGACACCCTTACATGGATTGAATTTAAAAGAAAAAAGGAAAAAAAGAAAAAGTCTTGAATTGAATTGAATAATGCGCCTAATTAACACGCATCCGTATAGTTTTGGACCTTTATGCTGTACCCAAAAACCCTATAAAAAATCCCATCTTTCCCTCCAAACCACGATTTACTGCCATCCCACGAGATTCCACAAGCGCTACACAGCAGCTGCCATACAGTCTCCAATGGAAGCTGCGGGCACAGATTCCGATGGCCGTGAATTCAGAAATCCAGATGAAATGTGGTTAGAACACACTGGAGATACTAGCAAGAAGACTCAATGGTACCGTGATGGTGTTGCTTACTGGGAAGTAAGTTTGTTTGTTTGTTTGTTTGTTTCTTTATTTGTGTTTTTCGAGCTCCCAATTGAGAAGGATGAAAGATTGATGAGAGTAATATAATGGGTTTTTGCTGTTTTCTGTTAAAAGTTTTGTCCTTTTGAAGTGTGTGGATGTGTTTTTGAGGACCCAATTGAAAAAAAATGGAAGTTTGATGCAGATATTAAAGTGGGTTTTTCTTGTTTTTAATTAAGTTTTGGACTTTTTGTGGTTTGGTTTGAAGGGTGTGGAGGCATCAGTGAATGGAGTGTTAGGTGGATATGGGCATGTGAATGATGCTGATGTGAAGGGAAGTGAAGGGTTTCTACAGACCCTTTTAGCTGAACTGTTTGTTGACGGAGGAATTGACAGGCATCTTGTTGCTCTTGGTATTCTTTTTCACTGTATTATTGAGTATTGAATTTGAAGTAGCAAACTTTTGAGTTTTTTCACTGTCATTTGGTGATGGGAACATGTTTTATATGCGAAACACATATTTTTAATGATTCTAGTATTTATTTAGTTGGGTGAAGCTGAATTTTGCTTACAAGGCTGTCTATTTACATTTAGCATTTGGGAAAGTTTCGAATACGAGAAGGAAGCGAATAGAGCGTTTAAGATTAGTTGGTGTGCTACAGAATTATGACTAGTTTTCGAGTAAGAATTGTTTGTAGATGCTAATGAAGCTCATGTATCACTTTTGACATATATAATGGTATCATTATGATAGCAATTTTCACTGAATATTGATGTTACTATGTGTTGGCTCGCTAGGAAAACACAAGTCCTCTGTATGTAGTGCCCGTATAACACATTTTGAAGCTGCATCTTGGTCATAGGATTCTATTGTGTCAGATATCATTTAATTCTTAAAAAAGTTTTAACTAATATTTCAAGATCTTGAATCTTAACCAGCTTAATTATTGGCCATGCACATTTCTTGTCAGTACTCTAAAGTTGAAACTCTGCAGATTGTGGTTCTGGTATTGGGAGAATCACCAAGAATCTTCTCATAAGGTATTTCAATGAGGTAAGACCATTGATCATTATGTCCCTGTATATTACTAGATGTATGAACTATGAGTTGTTTGTGCCTTTCTACAACTATAAATCCTGATGCAGCTCATTAATCTTTTCATTCTCTTTCCAGGTTGATCTTCTTGAGCCAGTGTCGCATTTCCTTGATGCTGCCCGTGAAAGCTTGGTCCAGGAAAATCATATGGCATTGGATAAGCACAAGGCCACACATTTTTATTGTGTCCCCCTTCAGGTAACACACTTTTAGATTGATTTGAAAGCTTGATTTGCTCTATGATGAAATTGAAATCAATATAATTTAGTTTGCAGAGTCACAATGATTCAGTTATTTTTTTTTCAATATATAATTTTCCAAATTTATTTCTTTCCTACAGTATATTATACATTGAAAGGATTTTTCTAGTCACACTACATTCGAAAAGTACATTTAAAAGGTTGAATACAATGTGCATTGTAAATTAATAGCTATAGCCCAGCTTACCTTTCACTATTTTTTTCTTTGTTTTCGTTTCTTTATTCAGTAAATGAAGTTTGCTTGCCTTTGCCTTTAGGAATTTACACCAGATGCAGGAAGATATGATGTTATCTGGGTTCAGTGGTGTATTGGGCATCTCACAGATGATGACTTTGTGTCATTTTTCAATAGGGCTAAGGTAAATCAACGTTGGCCTTGAGTTTAATATTTTAAATACCCAAACAGTTGTAGTGTACATTTATTCATCTACAAGAAATGATATGATATTTTCTTGAATTTTTGGTTGTTTTGTTGAAATAACATGACTTGTCCTTGTGTGTTAATTAAGGACTACATTTCTCTTCATTTCAAGTGTTCATTTTGTATTTTACCAATTTTGTAGTTGCCATTTTTTCCAAGAAAATTATAACATGTACTCTAAAAAACTAGTAAGATTTACATCTATCATTAATTAGAAAGAAAATCTTGAAGTTAAAAAGGTCTAATTGCTTATGAGTAACTTTATCAAATACATGATGTTCTTGACTTCCACCATCTAGGTGGCTGGGGTTGCATTTTGGGGGTGAGAGCTTACATTTCCATAGTATGTACTGTCATTTCTTTAATTTTCATGCTGATTGCAGATTGGCCTCAAACCTGGTGGATTTTTTGTCTTGAAGGAGAATCTTGCAAGAAGTGGTACTCTGCCTCCTTCTATTTCATAGTGAAAAAATGCATTGGCCCACTTTCCATTTAAGATAATTCTGAAATCACCTTCGAAGTGTTTGATGTCCATACAGAAAAGTGTAGTTGCAGTTGCTGCAAGTATCTAATGTTATTGACTTCTGAATTCAAACTGCATTTTTTCAGGATTTGTGTTGGACAAAGAAGATCGAAGCATAACCAGGTCTGATTCATACTTCAAGGGGCTCTTTAGTCGGTGTGGATTGCATCTCTACAAATCAAGGGTTAGCTTCTATGTATTTTAACTTGAAATAGACAACTAAAGGTGCTTTTACTAGTTCACCTTATATGGCTTTCTATCAATATTCTCGACTCTTCCTACTCAATTCAGCTTCATTGCAAAAAGTGTAGCAATGTGAGAATGTGTTCCCAAAGGGACTCTTAGAGCTGTTTGCATTTGCATCTGCAGTTAGTTTGATAAAGCAGTCTATTTGCATCCCTGCACCACAGATGAAGTTTCTTGTTGCTAGTTTAGGTGGTGAAATAGCTCATGAGCTTTAAATTGGGGCACAAACCAGTAATGATGCAATGCTTTAAGTTGCACCCCAACAGATATTAGTGGATTGATGGTCAGGAATTGCACTAGAAATGCCCAATGCAGAACTGCAATTTGGCAGCCCATTTTTGGACCTTACAGTAAGGGTCAGCATATATTTCTGGTTTGCTGTCCTCTACCAGCCGCATCAATCATTATTGTAACTGATTTTTAATCTGTGTAATACAGAACTTTATTTCTGTACTTGTATTTACTAAAATTTGAGATTTCTTTTTATTATTTTTAATTGAGCAATTTACCAATTTGAGTTTTGAGTTGGAAAAAAAATAAAATAAAAAGTAAAATCAGAGAGCTCTCCTCTCCCTGAAGCCATGTAACCTGACTAGCAAAATTTTCACCTCCAGTTAGTAGTATCCGAGGTCCTAGCTAAATATAAAATAAAAAATCCTGATGGTCGAACAGAGATGTCGGGAGTGAATTGCTCCTTGTACTGCACACCAAGGAGACTTTGCATTGATGTTGTTCATTTGATTACTTTCATTGGCTTAATCAGGAACAAAAGGGACTTCCCAAGGAGCTATTTGCTGTGAAGATGTATGCTTTAACAACTGATATTCCAAAGAGAGTCATTAAGGCCAGATCCAAAGTTCCAGCCAATCGACCTGGGATAATCAAATGAAAATAATTTCACGAGCTTTAAATTGTTGCAAATGGTGAGTAACTGCTCCTATAGAAACAAATGTCTGTAACTTAAACCATTGGAGATTAGATGGTGAACTTTTTTGTTCTACATTTTTATCGAGTTTGAAATCCTCTTAAAAAGATGTCTGCAACTTCCTCTCATCAGTTTAATTACAATATCTAAGATGTTATCATTGTCATGACATGCTTTAAAGTTCTGCTTTGTTTTCAACTTGCAAAATCAATTGGTATATTGTGACCTCTGTGAAAGAAACTGACAAACATTTATTCACTGCTTGTTTCTCAGTTGGTTAAGGGGGTGCTACTGCAGCATGAAAGCCTGTAATTTGGGATTCTAATCTGGCTTAATGAATTGACGGGCTGGAGACAGGTGCTTTGATAGCTATCGTCGATTCTGGCTCGGTGAACTGACCAAATTTATTCCTTGCCATTGTTGAGTGAGGAAGTCACCTTCAAGAGTATAATAGCTGATCCGAGATGGGCTGTTTAATTTAGAGTCTGCTACATGTTTTAAATACAGAACACTGGATATTTCAAGATTTTTGTGTTCCTTTGACTGCTAGATAGAATGATGTATATCACCAGCTTAGCTTTTTTGGTTGGGTGTAACAAGCCTCCTGCTGGAAAACGATAATGAACTTGCTGCTGGAAAATGGAATGAACGTGCTGCTGGAAATTTAATGTTAAATTAAAGAATAATAAGCTAATGTTTGTTTTTGTGTTTTTTGAAAAAAATTAAAAAATTTCTATTTTTTTTTAAATTAATATTTTTTGATAATTTTAGATCATTTTAATGTGTTAAAGATTAAAAATAATTTTTTTTAAATAAAAAAATATTATTTTAAAATATTTTTTAATAAAAAACATTTTAAAGAAAATTATAATCACATTTTTAACCAGGCAAGGTAGCCAGCCTCAATTTTTGTAACTAAGACATGCAAGAACTCACTTAGAGATGCTCTACAGCAGCCAACAGTAGCCAATAGTGACTCTTAATTATACAAAAGAAACTGACCTGGCCGCCATGGAGTTTGAACTTCAAGTTCTTACCTCCTTATCTAGAGGTCTGTTGAGTGGAGTTTATCCCATGCAGTTGATTTTACCCTTAAAATTTAATATTTTCAGTGCCCAAAATTGTTACAATATTCATTTGTTCCACCACAAGGAATGATTATGATATCTCGTTCAATTTTCTTGCTGTTTCGTCGAAATAATCAATGTCTATATGTATTGACGGACTAGATTTCTCTGCATTTCAAGGTTCAATATAAATTCCACTAGGTTGTAGACGCATTTTTGCTAAGAAAATTATGACAAACTTTCAAATAACTACTAAGATTTTAGAAATATCAGGCATTCCTGACCAGCTGGGGGTTCTGAGTAATGAAAGAACTTCTACTTTGTGTTGTTTATTTGTAGAGAGTTTATAGTTGACAATAGGTAACAGGAGGACTAGAATTGCCCAGTGTATACTTGCGGTAGTTCTGGTTTAGGGAAGCAATAGGCCACTTTTAATCCATGGATAATTAAGTTAATCTGGGTTAATTATTTTAGTCAAAATAATATTGTTTTTGTTTTAAATCATTGAAGTTATCCAGACTCAAATTTGGTTGGATCAACTACATTTCACCAAATTAATATTTTTTAGTTTAATTTAAAACCATATAGGTTAAGCTTCAAATAATTGGTTTTCCATGTTGATCTGCTTAGCTAGGCCGAGCTAATAAATTATGCCTGCAATAACAGCAGAATAGCAGCCCATGTTAACCTCGCTAGTAGATTTTTCACCTCCGGCTAGTAGCCTCCTAGGTCTTAGCTAAAGATAAAATGAAAACTCCTGATGATCGAATAGAAATCTTGAGATTGAACAGTTAGTAGCCATTTATTTACTGCTTAATTGTTTCCCAGTCTGCCTAGGGGTGCTATCAAAAGGTTGTGTGGCATGATAATTGTACTTTGGGATGCTAATGTGGTTTGGTGAATTGACAAGCAAAAGACTAAAGCCTTGGTGTTATGCTACTATGCAGCTGGTTTGGGCAATCGGCATCTCATGCCTAGAGTGTGGACTAACCATTGCTAGAATCCTTTCCTACAACTGCAGTCACGAGGACAGCTGGTGGCTGCCTTCCTTGATCTTCTGGATTGAGTTTACTTTAACAGTGTATTCGATCCACTGACTGCTACATGTGATGTTCTATGACTGTATCACCAGTTTCAGATCTTTTAGGTCTGGTTTTCTGCTGTTTCTGCTGCTTACTTTGATCATCTTGTTTTTTCCAGTGGAAAATTTTCATCAAACAAACCAAAAGATGCCTAGTCTTGTAGTGGTTCGAGAGCTGAGGTTGCATCTTCCATGTTTTATTGCAATATAATCATTCAAAAACAATAGCAAATGCATCTGCTTACAGAGAATATATACGATACACTTAAGTTTTAACACAGTCACTTGCAAATTTTGCTGCTTATAGAATCTGTAATATAATTGGAACTAGTAAGATCCAAGATGTTATCAGCTCATCTTCATTGAACATGTTTGTGTCCTTTACCTCCATCTCCATGAGATCTTTTATGGTTCTGGGGCGCAAATTCCAGGCAAGACTCATAGACTTTGTTTATCATATGGGATATCTGATTCAGGCTTGGATGTTTGCTGATTGATTGGTCAGTGCACATCAATCCCAGTTCTATTCCATGTTTAGCTTGATCAAACATATTTTCTGGCAATTTCATTCTTGCATCTATCACTTTGTGCAAGTTTTCAGGATAATTATCTCTGACATGCTCAATAAATCCAGCCTCACCTCTCTCAAATTCCTGTGACCTCCTATTTGTTATGATCTCTAGCAGAAATATTCCAAACTCGTGAATTTCTGAAGTGCCAAGAAAATTAGATATCTGTCAAGCAAACCATACAAAAACAAGAGAAATAAGGGATAGCTATGAATAGGAGAGTACATACTTTTGTTGTTGCTGTATTGATCTCCAACCTGAAACCTTGAAAGGAGTGGCTCATGATTGTCCGAGAGCAACACACTGTTTATCCTGAGATCATACACCACTTCAGGCCAATGTTCCTGCAAATAACGCATGCCGTCCACCACCCCAATTAGTATCTTCAACCTTTGCTTCCATGGAGGAGCTGAACCTGATAGCCACATCTCAATAGTCTCTCCATCTGTCCATTCAGTAACAATGGCTCTCTGATTTCTGTTTCTGCACCAACCTAATACTTGAACTAAGTTCTTGTGGCATAGTTCAACAAGAACCTTGCACTCCTCAACAAATTCCTTGCGTTTCTCCCTTGAAATGCAACCCCTGTAAATTTCAATCCTGACTTGAGTACTGTCTCGCAAAATTCCCTTGTAAATTTCTACTCCTTCACTTCTGACCATCTGGTTTTTTCTTGAAAACCCATTGGTTGCTGCCCTTAGCATTGACGGTGTAAACTTGTGCTTTCTTTGAAACATTCTTGGTAAGTAATCCGGCCTTTGAAAACACAGCCATCCAAAGCAAACCGCCATTAGAATCACAGAGATTGGAAATCCAACTAGTAAAAATATGGCCTTGATTGTATAGGTCCTGTCACTTGGAAGGATACCAGAATGAATAAAACTTGAAGCATTAAACCTTTTGAAAAACTTAGAATCTGAGATTTTACTCTCTGAAAAATAATTATATGACAGGTTGAGAAATGTAAGGTTGGTAAGAGGAGCGAAGCTCTCGATTGGGAATTCGCCGGTAAGGCCATTAAGGCTCAAATCAAGAGCCTGGATTTGGTCACAACATATAACTTCTTTAGGAAAACTACCCTTTAAAGAAATGTTTGACAAATCAATGGAAAGAATGGTTAAAGGACAGTATTTCCAAAAGAAACTGTATGACAAGTAGAGTGGTGCCATCTTCGGCCTGTTTCGCAGGTCTATGTTGTCGAAAGAATGGACACAATTTAGATTCTTTGACTCATTGCAAAGATGGCTTGCAACAATGGTGAACTTGAAGATTTCTTTCAGGTCCATAGAAGAGGAGTTGCAGTATCTAAGAGAAGGATTGTGTTGACAGTTTTTCATGATTGTGGTGTTGAAATCTGATGGGGGTTGCAAGTTTGCAAGGTCCTCTATTACTGATCCTGAGATTGCAGAAGAAACTGTGAGTGATAATGTTGTGAACAGAAGGAGAAAACGTGGAGAAGCCATGAAAGAAGTTGAGAGAAGTCTCTGAAAGTCAGATAGATATCCAAATTTTCAAGCGGTTTGCATGCATTTGCAATGTGGAAGTTTTAGAAGGTTTATTATTTGAATTTGTAGTGCCAAATTTGGTGGTTACCATGATAGGGAGAGGACAAATGTATCTCATCAAATTGTTTTGGGTCAAATATTCAAACAAAAATTCAAACCTTAAAATATTCTTGATATTATAACAAAAAAAAATCTGATCAAATTTAGGTGAAGTAAAATATTCTTCTGTAGTCTTGATACAAGTAAACTAGAGAGTTGGACATAGTTTCAGTGGATAAAAAAATATTCAATGATATTATAACAAAAAAAAATCAATTCAGTTTTTGATATATGACCCAATAATTTTAAAACTGTCAAGTAATGCGTTTCTAATAAAAAAAACTGAATTTTTGAGCATTTTTATAAAAAAAATTCTTACAATATGATTCTTGTTTATACATCATTGAGCCTTTATTTATAAAAAACATAGTTATTAAACCTAATTTAGTTTAATAAATTTATTTAAAAAATTTATGATACATAATGTAATTTATATCGAACTTCAAATTTAATTGAAAAAAATAAAATTTAATTGAATTAATCATGTTTTTATTACTCTATAAACCTGATTTATCTTTGACTATTAACAAAAATTCTTAGAATATTATAATTATACATGAATACTTGAAACTTTAGCTTGTTGAAAGAATTATTGTTATACTCATCAATTTTAATAATAAAAAGCCTTTTGAAGATTGACTTGAATTTTAAGTTTAATAAAAAAAATATTGATATAATAAGACTCGGTTAATTTAACAAAATTAACAAGTTAAAAAAATAAAGTAATTTAAAAAAAATAATTAATTTAAACTTAATAACTTAACCTATTTCCAAAAAAGGATTTAATAATGATAATTATGATTGAAAGTAGTTTATTAATACTTGTTATATTATGATATTGAGTATTAAATATATTGTTATTATTAATTCAAATGACATATTTTTTTAATAATTAATTTTTTTATTATCATATACACAATATATGTGTTTATAATTGTGATCAGTCATCAACATCAACATTGTTAATATTTTAAATCAATCAAAGGAAAACTCTTCAAATAAAGGAAATTAACCAATACATTTCATGAAAACAAGAAATTTACAAGAAATTGATAAAATGAGGACCTAAAACTAAAAGGAAGATTGACAGTCAGCACCTATTGCTAACATTACAACAAGGAAGGTTACCAATTAGCAACTAAACTGAAGATAATTAGGGCAGGAAAAAAAATTATCAACAGATTCTACTTAGACATGAGCAAAAAAGCACACAAAAAATGCACCCTCTTGACTGATCCAACTGCTATCAACTATCCAAGCAATTGACCCCCCAACAACTGATCAATCTCCTCAATGATCAAGGGTTTTGATTGGATTTGGCAATCGTTAGCAATGGTTTGGACAAAATCTCTTGGAACCAAGCATTTCTCTTCTGAGTACAACTTCTCTTGAATTGTTGGAGATGTTACAAGGAGAGTTTGAAGTTCCTGTGTGTGCATTGGCCCTTTGTTTTCCTGTAACATTTATTTAACACATCGGTTCTAAAACTGAAGAACATTTTCAGTGTCTGCCAAGAAATTTGAAAGAGAATGAGATTTTACCTGGGTTGACCCCATGAGTTCAAGAATTCCAATTTGAGCCTGCAAGAACTTGACATACTTGGAAGCAGCTTGGAACATCTCTGCAGTGTTCATCTTATGCCCACCAGGAATAAACTTTCCAAGCTCCCGTGTCTTCTCGGTTATCTTCCTTCTCCTCTCACGCGCAGCGATGCTCTGTGTAGACAAGCTCACTCCAGTACTTGGTTTCTTTGAATTCATCACACTCTGATCAGTCCTCCCAACATTAAAGGTTATTGGAACCTGAAACTTAGGTTCCGGGGCTGGGATTTCTGGAAATAATTCTGGGAGTCTTGGATTGGGATTCGGAGCACATCCTTCGAAGAAATTCGGTTCAAAAGTTGAGATGAAATGATCTGTGTAGGTTTTTGGGCGTTTCAGGTAGTGGTAGGACTCAAAATCTTGGAGAGGAAAGATTTCGGGGGAGAGCGAGATTATGTTATCTGAAGGAGAAGAGAAGTATGGGAGGAGATCGGTGTAGCTATCCGAGTAAACTAGCTGCTCCTCAACCTCATACAATGGGTTGATGAAAGCATCTGAAAACATCATGTTGTCATTGCAAGCAAAGAGCTGATCGTTTCCTATCTCTATGTCGCCTTGTGGATATTCTGTTAACTCTTGAAGGTTGTGATGCTGAAGTGATGAGCCCAAGCTTGAACAAAAGCTTAGAGCCATGGAAGATAGAATCTAGAAAAGAAAAAAGATCAGAAACTCCATCAGAATTTGGGAAATCATAAGCTAAACAGAAAGTCTATACTAATTAGAGCACAAAAGCCAACAAAAAGCAGTTACTTATCTGAATTATGGCTATCATTTTATATGTATCAGTTATCATTAACTTCAACAATTAGTACTAATGACTAAGCTTGAGTGCTGCTATTATTGCAATCAATAATAAAAAAACCCAACAAATTCTTGAGTGAAGGAAGACAAATAGGCCGGCGAACAAGCCTATAGCTCAACGAGAACATAGATCCATGTCCTCCTTATCTTCAGAGATCTCGAGTTCGAACAACAAGAAGACACATGAAATGACAAGAAGAAATAGTGTGGAGAAGCATAACTCATTTAAGCATAGGAGAAAAAACACACACAGAAGAATTGATAGAAGCTGAAGAAGTTAGCCAAGAAGCTAACAACTTAGAAAAGATCCAATAAAGAGAATATGATACAGACAAAATCATGGGACAAAAGAAAAATGTAAGATACTTAAGAAAGACATATACTATATATAAAAGGAAATCCACAAGACATGAAGAGATAAAGAAACAGAAAGATATGGTACCTGAGATTAAGATACTTGTAGATATAATATTGTCTTTTTGAATTCAGGTAGACCTAAAGTCGCTCAATAACAAACCTTATCAAACTAACACTTAACAGGACACAGAGGCAAACAGCTTGAAAAGTAGACGACTTGCTAAATATTGATAACTGTGTGAGTGAGAGAGAGGGGGAGAGGGAGAGGAGTGGGGGAGTGGGAAGTTAGAGTATTTGTAGGAGATTAAGGAGGGGATTATGGGTGGAAGATGGAGTAACCAACTCCTAATTATTGGGGAGCACTAAATTATACTCGTCATAGGGGTGGTTTTTTTCTTTAGCTGCAAGCTAGCTAGGGCTTCCCATTTGTTCTCCATAAACCGTTACTTTGCATGCATGGCGGCTGCTATATTTTACTACCTCATTACTTAACCTTGCTGTTACTCTTGATTTAATTTGTTTTGCTTCAATGATTAATCGCTAATAATAATTAGTAATATTAAGCATAGTTATTTTTTTAGATAATTATCAAGAATATATTAAAAAGGTCATAAAATCAAAGTAAAATACAGAAACAAGAAAAAAAAATAAAAAAACAGATATCGAGGGAAAAAAATCTACAACAACAAAACAAAGGCCATATTAAGCAGAGTTATCAAGCATGAATTTACTTGTCAGGTGACGTGGAAAATTCATTATCTGCTCAGTTAATCTAGGAGTTTCAAACTCTAAACGATGTCATTTCTATGTTATTGTGTATAATTTTTTTAAATTTTTTTGAAATTAACCCTATCAAATCTCATTCCAGTTTACCCTAATCAATCAAGTTAGATCATGTTAACTTCTATAAACAGTTTGAAATGAAACCACCAAGCTTGATGTTGGTGAGTTACCTGGTTAACTCCTCAATACAATTTTGATAACTTTAGTGATTTCAATCAATTAGAAAAGAATAGGGCTTATGCAAAATATTTATCTTCCTAGTTAAGGCTGCCTAGAATATATACGTGACAGGTTCACTAGAATTCCCATGTTGAGAATTGATCGCCATGTGCTCTCAGGATACATGGCCATTGTCCTCGGTGCCTTTGACTCCCCAGCGCTCTCATATATATGGCCACCGGCCGTTGAATTCTGAAAGCGCATCCAGTCATGTGAGTCATGACCAGTACTTGCAAAGATCCAGTCAAAGCTCAAAGTCATGGTCGAATCTTTGTGTGCGCTCTGACCATGGCTTAGAGGTCATGATGGATATGTTTCTGGTGCCTTCAGATTTCTTTAAAGTTCTGCTGGAGGTGCACATATAAAAGACTTGGGATTTGCTTCTCTCCAAGGGCACTGTGTATAAAACATGGAATTTTTGTTGTTCAAACATAAGGTTCATTGCCCTTGTAGTGTTCAGACATGCCTCTTTGCTGTCAAACTTTTATACTGTTCAGTTCGTGGCGGAGAAGTGCAACGAGAAATGGGAAAACTGTATAAAAGAGAGTAATAACACAACGTGTTCAAAACGCAACAACAAATGTCATCCTGCCTATCTGAAACAAAATTCCTATAAACTTGTCGGTAAACAAGGTTGAAAAGAGTTGAGTCTACAAAATTGCTTACAGCTGGGAAGAAATCAAAACTAGGAACCTGAGATACCTACACATAATTAAGATCAAGCATTAGAATTGATTTTGCTTTTTTTCTTTCTCCAGAATCAGAAGATAAGAAAATAATGATAATGAATAAAGGACTTGTTTAATTAAATCTAATGCACCTTTAATAGGAATTGAGGGCTCATCAATCAATGAATGAAGCTGCTCTCGGAATGTAGAAATTTTGTCTGCCTCAACAGCCATTACCAATCCCATTGGCTGGTAATTTTTTAGCTGTAAATTATCGAAACAAAAAATTAGCAAACATTTCTATTTTTAAAGCCATCACAAGTAAATGTCCAGGGGAAGCAATAATGCATTGCCAAAGACTTGGTCACCTACACAGCACAACAAAAACAAATGGAGGTTTGTCTACGGTGACATAGTGGCATTTAGAGGTTTTTCCATCCAGGGAACTTGAGCAAAAGAATGCTGTAAACAACTATGCAAGGAAATGAAGGCAAAAGTTTTAAAACATAAATTTTACAAACAGGAGTTCCACTGGTTCTATCTTTAAGTTCAAAATCACTAGCATTCAGTTTGAAGTTGACCCTGAAATACAATCACCAACATAACCCCTTTCGAGATATAATAGCAAATTACTACTTGCCTCATGACCTGTAACCTGCTCGGCGTGATAAGGAAAGTTGAAGGGCCATGAACAGAGCTGAAATGTGATGGGAAACAATCAGTAAAAAGAGAAGAGGCGTGATGCTATTATAGATGTCAAAAAGAATATATACCTTGTGAAAAATTTCATCTTCAGGCTTAGCGTATATAATTGCTTCCTCACTATCAATACTTAACCTGTTTTTCTTGTCTGCATTCTTTTGCTGGTCATGAGAGACGAGTGTTGATTTAAGTAAAAGATAATGGAGGTACAAAGAGAGAGAGCAGGAGGAAGAATCTGGGGCAAGCATACCTTGTAAATTTTGCTAATTAGTAGATATGACTTCAAGAGGAATGAATTCTGGAGCTCCTCCGTAGGCTTCAAATAAACAAACAAGAAGTTAGCTAGACAAGAAAAGTTCTCTCATGCATGTAAAGAAAGAGAGATTTATTAAGCTCACCCATCCCATATTTCATCTAACCTCATCTTCTATAGCCCATGAGAGTTCATCAAACACAGCATCATAAAAAGGTGGAAAAAGCTAGCGTGGAAGATTAACAACTTGTTGAGAGACCAAGAGAACCACATTGTGTGGTTGGTTTCCCAAAAGAACTCTCAGATCATCTTTTATGCCCTTTCTCTTGGCATACTGTGAGCAGGCTCTCCTTGAGCTCTGCGACGCATTTATGGTCCTGGTAATAGCAGAACATTGTTAGCCAGCACAAACTGAAATGTAACAGATTTGAAGGGATGCTAATTCTTGATTAATAAAGTGGCACTAATCACCTTAACATACCATTCAAACCGGAAAGGGCAGTTAACAAAATTGGTAACAATGTTATGTTTCAAATTAAGATAATTCAATGTTGTAGCCACAGTCGGGTTCAGGTTTGGGGATCTTTACAAAAAACAAGAGGGTCAACACCTCATAACTCACTAAATAATGGGGGTAAACTTGCCACAACGATTTGTCAAATTTTAATTGACATGAGATTAGCCAATGAAACTGAATATAGAAAAGCGTGGGAGGAGCATCTCAAAGAGCAAGTTACTTGCGTTACATCTCTCCAAGTTTAAGGGCAGAAACAATATAGAAAGTCCATTATCTTCATCATCCTCAATTTAAGATTAAAATTAGACTTGAAATGCCCAAAACAACACAAATAAAACAATTCAACAGCAATGAGAAAACATTGTACTAAGCTAAAGCTATAAATTCCATCACAACAGAACCAACCCAGCAAACAATGTTCTTATCTCATGCCAATTGAACCAAAAAACACAAACATAACAAAGGTGAAATCTTTGCAAGCTTAGTCCTAACCCATATTGTCAAATCCTTCTCTAACAAAGAAACGAACTTTGTGTAGCATCAAAGAAAAGGCAACATAAAATGAAAGCTGAACAATTTACCTTATCATAGACAAGTTTGTCGAGAGACAGAATGTTACAGTAAGCTAAAGCTTTGATCTTTCTTCATTGTTTGGGGTTTATGAGAGGTTTTATTGTTCCCTGTTTTCTCCTCTCTCAAAAGTTTCAATCTTTCCTATGTTTACTTTACTGGGCCAAAGACAAAATATCCACTTGGCCTCAGCTGCTGACAGGAAAACTAGTATCAGTGTACTTTGGTCAATTGCTTGTTATTTCTAATCGCAGTTATTTCAGTGCAATCCTCAATCTATCAATTTAGCCCTTACGTGCCATAATTACCAATATTAATTAATTTCTTAACTAATTAATTAATCATTTTATTCAATTTCTCAAAATGCATGTGCAAAAATAAAATAAACAAGCAGGCGACAACAGACACAACCCACTAATCATTAAAAACATGTTTTACCTCGCTGATGTTTTCCTTTCTAACATAGTTTTTTCTTTTAATTTTTTTTAATAAAATAACACAGATAAATAGAAATATTATAAACAAACCGGAACAAATTCAAATGAAAAATAAGAAAAAAATTAAAATATTTTCTAAAATATTATATATATCATAATACCAAACATAATCATTAAATTCTCAAGATTTGTGTCATCTTGGCGTATGATTGCTAGATGATGCACTCAGAAATGCCGAGCTTTAGATGTGTACCAATATCAACTCTAAACCTGCTTCAAACGTGCCACAAACATTTTTGTAAAAAGTAATTGTTTTTTTATTTTTT